CTTTAATAACCTTGTTTGAACAATTTCTGCCTGTGTGGCTGCTGCAAACAGGTTACTCCTGCAGCCTCTCAAGAGAGCTGATAAGACATGCTTATGCAGGTTGAGTAACACACTCCACTTTGCTCACAGACTCTCGACAGGCTAACCCAAGTCCACTAAGAGTGCTGGGGAAAGAAAAACAAACCCTAGAGCCAGAAACAGACCAGCAAACAAGCACATGTGAGCTGCCAGAATATTCACACTTAAGGAAATGCTCTCAGAGCATCCTTTTTTACCACATGGCTGGCTCTTCATTTTTATTTTTATGTGTCCTCCAGTTCAGGGCTTTGTCACACATTGCAAATGCACACTTGGACATTGGCCAGGCAAGGAGATTGGAAAAGGAAAAGAAATGTCAGTGGCAAACATATTTCACCTTCTTTTGCTTGCCTAAGCTTCTAAATGAGGTGTCAGTCTTAGATTCATTAATCATTTACCACTTATGAGGTTATTTAATATCTTTAAACTGCAGCAGCAGCATGCCACCTATAAAACCTCACCATGATGCTGTACGAACAAGTAATGTATGTTACATAGTTGGTGTAACTCAGACTGACACTGCCAAACCAATCTGTTTTTCCCATTAATTTTTCATATATTTCAGCATATGAAGCTTACAGAAATAACTTTGTAGAACTGTTTAAATTGGAAAGTCACAGTTTGAAAAGGTATGTGTATGGATATGTGCCTGTGGTTAATGAGAGCACTCTGTCTCCATCAGTTTAATAAACTGCTTGTCTTAAAACTCCTTCAAAAAACTGGGAGAAAAAAAAATATCAGGGTTTAATTTACAAGATGACACAGTGTTTCTGAATATTGAGGTCTTCCTGGAGTATTACATATAAACAGCACAATCCTAGTGAGCACACAAAAAATAAAGCAACTGCACTACACCCTGTTTCCAGTTGCATGCATGCTGAAACGGTGTTTTAAATATTAGTCAATGCTTAATGTAAAGGCATCTTTATGCCTTTACATAAGTCACATTCTTGCTTCTTTGCATCCTGCAGTGAGTGGCTATCCTGCTTTCTGAGGCTCCCAAACAAGGCGGCTTGAGCCACCGAACTGACTCTGGTAAAGCCCCTATGGAAGGCTAACGGCTGTGTCACTGGAGCTAGCTGGAGCCTGCCGTTCTTATCAGCATGAGCTGACCCTCAAAATCCCATCCTCCATCCTCGTCCCAGCCTACAAGACCTACAGGATGATTTCTGTGAGCAGGCTGTGTGTCAAACTGTCTCAGCTTAGCCTGGATTGCAAAATTGTCACTCCCATCCTTTCCCAAGCCTTTCCCTGGACCGCTGCACCAGAGGGGTCTAGCACCAGCACAGAGCCTGGTATCTCCCCGATAGTATTATTGTTGGTTTCTGGGATGATGGTACCGCTTTCAGGTCCCAGCAGAGACCTGGGCCCATTGTACAAATGTACAGTGAGCATCAGTTACTGCTGGAGGAGTTTTCACTCTCAACAGAGGCGATGAACAGTAGGGCTTTGTTGTTCTGGCTCTGAAGAACTGAGGAAAAGCGAAGCAAAAGGGGGGATCCATGAAAGCCTTTGAGGATCTAGCTCCTTAATGTATTTAAACAGTAACCATAAAAGTACTTTTGTAAAGATGCACGAGTTGCCCAAGCGCACAAGGAGCCAGGGAACTGAATCTAAAGGCTAGTCCATTGGCTTAGTCCTAGCGCTAATCTTCTTGTAAACATCCGTTAAAACAACGGATCTCTAACGCACCACAAACCGCAAGTCAAGTTCACTGGCTGCAAGTGTTGCTCTTCCCGCTTCAGTGTCACCAGACAGACAAGCAGTTGCACAAGTAGCAGAGCTAATAAGGATTGGTTTCCTATAGATTTGTGTCCAATGTCTCCACAAACTCCTTTACAGCAGCGTAATAACCGCTGTCCCACATCCGTGATGCCTTCAGCTCTCCCTCCTCCATTGCTGCTTGTTTCCAACTGGCGCATCTGTTCAAAATCCCTTAATGCTGCTGTTGTGGATGGGCCACGCTGCAGACGCGTTGGCCGCATGGCAGACGCGCATGGGCTTGGTAGGAGCAAGGTGGTGGGCCTCTCCCCTGTCCTGCTATTTTATTTCATTTCTTATTTCAGGAATTGCAATGTTTCTGAGATCTTTACTCTTCTGCCTGCTTTGTTTGACATTTCCCACAAAGGCACTGACAGACAGACAAACAAATGGACGGCATGGTTGCATATGCCTTGTTCCCTCAGGAAACCAGGCTAGAAACAGAAACATCTTGGGTGCACTGGGTGAGATCTGTGGTTTCCAGGCATTCACTTCACTAAAAACCAACACGCACTGGAGCTGCTGGTCATGCGTTAGCTTACAATAGCTTCTTTTATCTCACAATGAAAGCTGTGTGTTTCAGCCATGGCAGCATTTGATTACGGTGGTTACAGTGTCAGCTAATTGCAAAGCAAAGCAAGCCTACAAAGTGCCACAGTTTGGGGTACGTCTTTTGATCCAGTTTTCTTGTTCCCTTATGTGTACATGTAAGACAGAGAAAGACTGATTATACGTATGAACACACATTATACATGCACTCTATTTTATGCACTACAGACTGCACCAGAGGAATATGTATATGCAAATATAAACATATCTATTCATGGGCATGTTCATATATGTTTTTATATATAATATTATGTACAATATTATATAAATGCATGCACATAGTATTTTCTATATGTGCATGTACAGAGATATACATATGTACATATACATATGTATAGACATATACACAGGTGTGTGTGTCTGTATACACACATATATAGATGGTATTCTAAGATGGGCCAGAACTAGAACACAGGATTCCAAGTCATACTTAAGGGATCTTCTTGAGAAAGAGATCCTAAGATGGCTTCCCTACCAAGTGCCTCAATACAAACCATTTTCCCTTTTGGAAAACCATTGTCAACTTCTTGGTTAAGTCCTCTTTTTCTTATGTCCCCAGCGTCTTTTTTTACCAAGTGATGGAGTTTAAAATTTAACATTGACAGTCTTGCAAATGCTGAGCTCCCATTTGGGTTGAGGATGCGACCTCTTCTGTCACATCATCCAGGCCAAATGCAGCCATGAGGTTGAATCTTGCAAAGTGCTGGTGTCCTCAGGTCGCATATCACCAGAGGAACAAACAGGAGAGGTGCTTTGCACCTGCACTGGAACACGCAGACAGGGATCACCCTTCTCTTCTGCCACTGGAGATTTCAGGGAAGCTCCAAAAAAGAAATAGTAAAAGCTTTGAATTAAGGAATGACTTAGTTCTACTAAAAATTTATGGGCCAAATCCTTGTATACAAACAAAGATGCTATTGAAGTTAACAGCTTTTGAAGACATACAGCAATTCTTCTAGATGTTTTTACATAGGGATTGCATCATTTTCAGCCTGCTCACAAGAAACTTTAATTTATCATAGCCAGAAAGATTTATGCCTCCTGGGAACTAATCTAACTTCCTCTGGTTTATCAAGATGCAGACAGACAACTTGCCAACTGAAATTAAAACAAAATAAGTGACTGATTTAAAACAGTTGCATTATCCGAAGTTCAGCCCTGTACTGGTCTTTTCTCCAGACCGTGTGTCACTCAGCAGTTCTGCTGTGCCACCAGGGATTTTGGAAGCGGATACTACAGTTCCCCACGCAGAAACACATTTCTACTCTCCCAAGTGAAGCAACAGCAAACGTGCCATGGTGCATGGGCGCTGTACTAATAGTTTATCGGAGAAAAAACTGGCTCCATCATCGCTCAGTGATGATAAATGTATTGCCTGGAAAGGTAATGACAGGTTTTTTTCTTCTCTTAGCTGACATTTGCATGTGAAACCACCTCCGCAGAAAATGTTTACATTGATGTTTACTCTAAGCAGCAGCCCAGTTGCAACAGATGCACCTGGGCTGTGGTGGGGTTGTCTTCTCATTTTGCATCGATCCATCCACAGAGCTGATGGGAAGTCTAACACCTGTTTTCTCGTGTAGCACATGTCTTCTTTCCTCTACCTCAGCCATGTAAAACAAAGGTACGTGTCACTGGCAAGGTGGCAGTGGGAAGCAGGACCCGTGTGCTGGCAACCCCACGGGGAGGAGGAGGTGGTGGTCCCCAGGCACAGACCACACCATTTCTATGTGAATAAATGGGCACATGAGGTATCGTTCAACTCTCATCTGACTCTCTACATTTCATCCTTCAGCTCTGCAGAGCTAAGATAATGGACAAGAGGATCTATTCTGAAAACATGAGCTCTGGGCTGGCCATTTTGGATTCAGAACATTCAGGCTGTTCAAGATCAGAGCTGGTAGAGAAACTGTGAAAATGTCCCTGGCACAAGACACTCCAAAAGATTGAGGTGAGTCCAAGGAGAGCAGGTCACAGAGGATCTTTGACCCAGCCTAATGCAGTGAGACAGGGACTCTTTAAACAGAGATTTCAAGAGAAACACTCGGTTCTTCCCATGAATTTCACCATGGGGTGGGATCTGACTGAGAGCGACAGAGGGGGAGTTTCTAGGACTGATCTCAGTGTGACAGAGACCTGAGTCTAGTCCCAAGGGTCACGAGCATCAAAGACTGAAGTCTAATGTTGAAAATAAAATATATAGGTCAATGCTCATTTTCCAGCTTAGACCACATTATTCAAGAAATGACAGTAACGATGTCTGAAGCTCGTGTCTAAGCTACAGACTGCCATACTTTTGCTGTCATACTAGTGTACTATTCTTTCCTTTGGGCAATTAAACTGCTGGCCTCATAAATGGCAGTGCCAACATGAGAGTCATTTAGGTCCTGGAATCTGTGCATAGAGGAATTTCTGGCGGTCGTTAGTGGATGGAGGTCTATTAGAGTTGAAAACCCTGCTCGTTCAAAGCCTCTCCAAAACCAGTGTGGCAAAACAAGGAGATTTAACATCCTAACTCAGGAAAAAACAAATTGTACATTGGCAGTGGATGAAAGATTCTCCTTTTATTTTAAAACCTCTGTAAAATCAGAGCAATGGGTCAATTCCAGCATTCAGCCAATTTAATTAGCGATCTCAGAGTAATCGTGGTAATGAGCCAAGTCGGCAAAGATGTCATTGGGGTTCTTGCAGTTCAGGTTGCAAAAACAAGCATTGATCCACATGATTTTCCAGGAAAACTCAGTTCCATCTGGGCACTCAAACCTCACTTCAATAGTCTTGGACTTGTAGGGTGTGCAGCACCTGTTGTCTGTGCAGACGCCACAATATTTGGGTCTATAAGGACTTTTGCTCACACAACCTGAGATGGTGTAGTTCATTGGTTCATTGGCCCTGTAGACAGCCAAGCACTTTTTTCCAGGCTAAATCAAAGAAGAACAGAAAAAGAGACAGGTTAATATTAATTGCTGACACAGGTAGGACACACAAACTCCCAATATTTAAAGGATTTTGAAGCTGTTAGGAAGCATTTTACAGCCCTGGTCTAGAGGGTGTGACAGATTCACATGTTTAGACATAAGAAGCCAGAAGTTGCCAGTAGGATACTTGCAAAATACAGTTCACAGCCCTGACCGTAGTGCACCATCGCTTTTCCTCTAACTGAGTCACAGGCCTGTCTGAACCAGCAATGAGCACAGCGGAGTTGTCTTGCCTTTCCTTTCAAGGACCTTTTGGCTGGAATTAAAGCTCTCAGGGGAAGGTTTTTATACTAGCGTGTGGAAGCACAGAAAGCACACATTTTTGACCTCTCTGCAGCACAGGGAGTCCACGTGTACTCTCTAACAGCCTCCAAGACCAGAAGTGCAGCCCTCAGAGGCCTGAAAGCTGCCAAACAAAGGCTGACCCCATGTCCAGGCAAAGCTCAAGGGGCACGTGAAGAAACAGTCCCCACCTTGATGTGCTCGGTTATATCCACCTCGCAGGGCCGCATGTTGCACAGGCGGCTTTCCTTCAGGAGCCGGCACTGGTCGTTGTCGTTGGAAATCCTGGTGGAGATGCCCAACCCGCAGGTCTTTGAGCAGGGGCTCCAGGATGAGGTGTGAACGATGCAGTTCTTCTGCCAGGCTTCATCCTCTCCCTCGTACGCTGCAGAGACCAGATTAACCCCGCATTATTCAGCCGGGGCAGCTTTCCATATTAAACACCCTTTCCCCAGCTCATTACACATTCAGGCCACTAACCCAAATAATTAAAGCACAGCGAAGTGGCTCCCCCC